GGTAAAAAAAAAGGCAGGAGAATTGAAAGGACTCCGTCCGGAAAAGTCATAATTACGAGTAGATATCCCCGAAAGTTCGCAGGATGGGATAATTGGTTTTATTAAAGGCGACTCGAACGCCCGGGGCGCACGAAAACGAAATAAATTAAAGAATAAATTATTTAAATCGTCAGACAATGGCCTCTGTTTCGAGTCCCTACAGCCGAATCACGGCATATGGTTTATTCCTTTTGATAACAGAAATTGCACTGTAATTATACGGCTCTATTAATTACACCGAGCGTTACACATTCGCGGTAAACCCGATGAGATTTTTGCGATTCCCGCAAACAATTCCTGCTATACCTTGATCTAATTTACATGGAAATTGGAACCGAACGAGGACCGTCGTAATATTTAACCCGGACGGATTTTTCTGCTACTCTTCACAACAAAAACACCGAAAAGCTTTTACGTTCGTTTCTAATCCATCCGCCTATGAAAAAATAAATACGGAGCACTTGTAGGAAATTTAAAAACGGCAAAATTCGTGTAATATTCTCTATCATGGATAAATCTCTCTGGGAACATCTCGTCAATGCCTCTATTATCATCTCTCCCTCGTTCGACTCTCGGGCTTTGTAATTTCGAATTTAATTTAAGGTCAACCGCTCGAAACTACCCAAACATAATTAACGTTTACACCGCTTGTATGTTGCGAGTACATAATAGAGAACCTAATTTTCCAAAAAATTAATAATATTAACGATTGGAACATAAATGAATTGAGTTATTTCACGAAGAAAAAGTTCTCTAAATGACCTTATAGAGATACTTTTGCAAGTGTATAAAATAATTGTGTGAAATATCATGCAGTATTATTGTATAATTTTATAGAGTAATGTTCATCCAGAATCCAGGAACGAGTGCTACCCTCTGTGCAAGTACGAGTACACTACACCCTGGATAAACGAAGAAAATCCATCCCTTCATCGACCTGATAAGGGTTGCTTCGATAGTAGCATTTATCGCGGTGTAGATGGCGCTTAAAAGAGCGGTAAATTCAAATATGTACTTACTCAAATAGTAGAGATCTAAGCTGGTGAAATCGTCCGGATCGATTTGCTCCTCTTCGGTAAACTTGGCCCATGCTGTAATAGCGGAATAGCGATATTAATTGAAATGTTGCATCGCAGTGGATTATTTTGAGATTTATTATTTACGTTTTTAATCCGCTTCTCGGATTATAGCCTATTTTCCGATTGCTTACGTTCCCATGGAGTAAACAGCAGTTCGAATTTCCGGAGCGTGGGCGCTACGAAAGCCGGATAAATTCGGATAATACCGTTATATTTCGCTACAATTAATGCAATTCTTTATTTTCCAGAGATGTAAAAATAATCTGGGACAAATCCGGCGAGTTGCCGGCATGATAGTTTATGTTAACAACCTGCCTGTTTGGAAAGTATATAATATTTTTATGACGCTCCATTACATTTTATCTAAACATTTGTTTTATAAATTTTATTTACGATTTTTATATCGACGGGTCCAATTTTTATTGTTTATCGTGTAATGAAAGGCGAGAGTAAATAGTGAATTGTTAGTGGTAAAATTAACTAGGCAAATGTAATGTTTGTTTTAGTTGAATTCGTTTATTCAAATCGGTAGGTATTTGTTTCATCCGGCGTTTTAAAATTCTTAGTAATTTCATCCAGGCTGCGTTTGTTAAGATTTCTATTATTTTAAATGTTAGTCTATTTATATTTTCGAAGATATGTTTGCATTCTCCAAATTGCTCTGAGATCATACGTTTGATGAAATTTTTTCTATTTTCGAAAGTTCAAAAGGTCAAACTACTAACGGTCAAACAAAGTCACTGTCAATCAATCAATCGTTTAGCTGATCAATCAATTAATCAGTGAATCAATCAGTACGTCAATCTGTTCTAGTTAAATTTCTGCAGCTTTATTAGTTCAAATTGTTTCAAATTGCTCAGGCATCAAATGATTATTTTTTTTTCGAAAGTTGTTTTAATCAGTCTATCAATCAATCAAACAATCAGTGAATCAATCAGTACATTAATCTGTTAGTTAAATTTCTGCAGATTTATTATAGACTTCAAATTGCCCGCAGATCAACTATTTAATGATTTTTATTTCAATTTTCCAAACTCACTATTAAACAATCTCATTTAGTTGATTTATCAATCAGTCAAAAAAATCAGTGAATCAATGAATGAACTTACTTTTCCGCAGGAATCCTAAGCAACCCTTGGAATACCTTTTCTTCTCGTTCTCGACATCCGAATCAGGCGTCGAAGACTCCAAATTATCCATTTCAATTGCATCTTCTCTACGCATCTGCAACCACACAAACCCATACAGGGTGTTCACGAACTTATGGTCCAAAATTTTAGGGGTGGTAGTTTGTATAATTTGAGAGCGATTCTAATAGCGAATAATGATTTATAAATTGAGTGATATCTTATTCGAATTTGTTTATTACTTATTTATTCCATATGGTGTCTATTACAAATTACAAAAGTAAACCGGGTTTTTCAAACAATAAAAGAAAATAAATTTTAAACTCGAAAGGAATATTAGCTCACCTATTTTGTTGTTGAAAGCTGCTTAATATTGTTCCAGAACATCACTATAACGAACAAGAACTAACTAAATTAAGAACACTAAGAATTAACTAAACTAAGAACACTGACAACTAAAAACAATCAAATATATCACTAATAAAGTCTAATTACAAAAATTTATTTAACCCCGACGACGTTATAATCAAAACAATACACAATTCGCACTAGAAAACAATCAGTATCGATAACGTTTTCTTCAAAGCTGGAGGGAGGAGGGGGAAATTTGCGCTTGCTGATAAAATACACCTTATCTGTTTTTTAATCTAATATTCAGATCAGCTGAGAAATTAGAACAGAGTTGTATTCGCTCTTTGCATTTTGTGGTACCCTGCTAAGTATCACTAAAACACAACCTGCAGTAATCGTTTTTATTTTAATACACATAATATTTATTTATTACCAAACAATATAACTTTTATTCGTATTTTTACAATAAATAATCGGTAATTAATGACGATAAATATTAATTCGATCCATCAGTGGCGGGTCTTCATACATTTATTTCTAATATTTCTAATATTTCTACGACTATTTTTCTAATATTCCTGCGACGCCCTCTAATCCCCTCATAAATAAAAACACTCCAAATCCAGAAGATGAAGGACTAAAGTTGCATTTATTCAGTGTAAGTTTCTATCCCAATGAACGGTATTTTACAAGATTATTTCAAGATTTCGGAGGGTTTGGGGGATGTTTCAATTAAGGTAGACTGGAGCAAATGTAATATTTTTACCTATTATGTTAATGTTTTTATTATTTTTATAGTTCTTTTGTGCATTAGACAGGGTTTGTTTCTTATTTTTTCATTATTATTTTGTAGCTCTGTAATTTTTTGAAATAAATAAATAAACAGCATATCAAATTTTAGAGGAACCGAATATGTATTTATAAATGCCCCATATGTTTTTCTATACATATAATTGTATTGTCTCTTTAGAACCTTTTGTTACACCCATGGTACGGGGTAAATGTAACATATTGTCAACATTTTAAAAAATATGTAAAATCGTTTTCTTCCTTTTTTAAAAAAACTTTTTAATACCTCGATTCTTTAGTTTAGGAAGTTGTGAATTTAATGTGGTATCGGCATTTCTAAAAAGAGAAAAAATAAAGCCACATTTTAGGATTTAATTTGAACTATTCAAATTTTACAACCGATTTGCCCCAGTCTACCTTATTTTGTTTATTATATTTTTTTAGAAAAAAGAAATCTGCGAATCGGTCTTAAATTATACAAACTACCACCCCTAGAATTCAGTGCCGTAAGTTCGAGAACACCCTGTATTTCAACCAATTTTACCATCATAAAAAGCACTTCCTAAATTAGAAATAAAACTTACCTACCTTTGCCGCTATCTAAATTTAACGCGGTATTCCATTTATTTTCGGAGTTGTCTCAACACGAAAACCACTCGAAATTGTTCCCGGCGAAACGCACAACACAATCGCTCCTCGTAAAATTTCCTCGAAGACCGAGAGAACCGAAACTAAAAACTGAAACTAATAATAAACCGAATTTGTGGATGATTTCGAGTGGATTTTCACGCTCGTCGCCGCCCGCGCTGAAATTCGGACTCCTGCGACGTTGCCGATGCGGCCGATGTAGCGGTTCTAGGGAATTTAGAGAAGCTAAAAGCTCTAAATATAAACCGGATCTCCTAAATACTGTACAGTGAGGACCAAAAGTCCGTCGCCCCCCCTTTAACTTTTAAATGGTAAGAGCTTTTGTCGCGCAATTTGGGGTGTTTATATTGGAGTAAAAATACTATATTTGACGTAAAAATGACAGCAGAAACTTTCAAAATGACAGTTAGGCGCCATTTTGAATCTTTTTTTCTTATGGAAAGAGAGGTCAAGTGACACCTCGTTTTAAAGGTAATTTCATTCTTAAGTCAATCCCCAAATTTGAAAACATTTTAATAACCAGCATTCACGTTAAGACCAATTTAGTTTTAACCCCCGGGCATATTGATACATTTAAGAATTAATTCTGAACGTACTATAAAATGTGTCAATTAATTGTTGCTATGGTTTCTTGGCTCTGACATTTATTTGTCAAATTTAAAGTTAGACTCGAAATGGCGCCTAACTGTCATTTTGAAAGTTTCAACTGTCATTTTTACGTCAAAAATAGTATTTTTACTCCAATATAAACACTCCAAATTGCGCGACAAAAGCTCTTACCATTCAAAAGCTAAAGGGGGGCGACGGACTTTTGGTCCTCACTGTATAAAATTTAATCGTTTGATTATTAAACAATTATTTTTGTGTTAATATATATAGAACAGTCTTCCGCCCGATCGAAAATCGTGCATCTTTTAAAATAGATGGTGATTAAATTAATCAATTTAAAGTTATAAAATGTAAAACAGATCTTCGAAATACTTTATTAATGAAACCGTTTGATTATATTATTAGTTTACAGTACAACTTGCCGTCGAAATAGAAAATACTTCAAGTGATTCTTCGAGTACCGATTACACATATATTTAGGTAACATTTAGTACTATACTATAATTGTATATCCTGCTATATTTCTTCCTGCTAACCCCCGCGTTCGGTGGCCTCGTCCTTGGGCACGGCGGTCAAATTGTACCCGATGTCGTGGTAACGAACAGGATAAGTCAATTGGTTGCCTTTATCCCAGGAATACAATTCCTGCAAGAGTAAAAGTACAAAATTAATCTGTTACAATTAACCATTATCCATTTGGATCAGTTCGCTTGTAGAGTTTGCTTGTAAAGGTTTAAATGATTGGAAGGAAGGTTGTTAAGGGATGAATTTAAAAAATAATCAGGTCGATTCGGTTTGGATCTTGTTATGAATCTTGCTATGATAACCATGTTGTTATATGTTTAAGTTGTAACAATATTGCCAAAAATTTTCTTATTCTGTTTCGATTAGTTTAGCAATGTTGGTTATATTTTTAACGTTTAACCATGTTGCTAAAAACATTCTGTCGTTAATGAAAAATAGAGCTGACAAAACTGTAATTATCTGAATATAACTGAAAAAAGAAGAATCCTCCCTAAAATTTATTATTTTACGATTACAATTGACTCCATTGAAGGGAGTTTTTCATGTGTTAAATTTCTGCGTTGGAAGCGGAGGCGGTTTTTATAAAATGATGAAAGGACAAACAAAGAAAGCAAGCAAGGAACAAATGGAAGTAATAGTTAAAAAAATTAAAAAATATTTAAAAAACCTAAAAAAATATGAGTAATTATTTTTATCATACATTTCTGAACTAGCGCAACTTGTAGATGAAAAGGTGTTGTATCTCTTCGGAATGGTTCTTCTAGAACTTCTAACAACTGTTGAATTAAATTTAAAGCTGTAGCCTTATTTAAGTTTTATAAATTTTTCATTTAGCAAATCAAAGGGGTTACTTGTATCTCGTATTTGCAAAAAATGTAAATTCTTTTAGCTCATATAGTAATAAAAAAAGATCGGATTCGCCTTATTGCTATCAAATAGCAAATACAAAAATGACATTGTTCAAATAGCAAGGTTTATAACAAGATATCTTTACTAATGACAGATTATATTGTTTAAATTACACGAACAGAATAGGTTATTCTTTAGGACATTGCTATAATAACAATATCTTTACAAAATAACCAATAACCATATTGCTATTTACAAACAGAATCGACCCGAATGTATAAAGGAGGTAATTAATGTATGAATGATTAATAAAAAGGGGATGTATAGAGTGGTCTGATTTATTTAGCAACGAATTTAGTATTGCGTAAAGGGAATCTTTCAGAGAATCTGGATAATCTCTGGATGAACATTCGTACCTGGTTTCTGGCATTGTAGTTCAACATGGTGGTCTTCCTGAACGGATTGCTGAAGGCCAAATTGACGTCCAGCAGGGTTTCCTTATACAAATCGAAGGCGAATCGAATCTTCGTGTTTCTATCCAGAACGCTATCGACGGCGTAAAGTACCCCGCAAACGACGAACATTTCGCCGACTTTCTGATGAGGCAGGCTGATATTCCACACGTATTGGGCCTTCATGGTGTCCGTATTGACCTGGATAATAACACAACACCGAGTGTAATTAACATAGACCTATTAACTATGGACGCGGTTTAGACAAAGAGGTAATGTTGTCGATGAATGAGAGAGATGCAGCTAGTTTGGGCATATGGCAATGAGAGATTGGACAATGCATTAGCCAATAGTAGAAAAGCAAAAGACCACGTGAGTTACGTTTTCAGATATGCAAGGTAGCTGGGGTAGAGGAGGGTAGCTTATGGTAGAATAGGGTTGAGGATTTATTATTTTTTTACCGAGCAAAATGCATTTTTCAGCTGAGCCTAAATTCCCACGCATTTGCAAATACAGTTCTTATTTTGTATTGTTAATTGGAACATCCTACCTATTAGCCAGTACAGATTTCGCAATTTAAGACCTAGATGCTTTCTCTTGTAAAAAATATGTTTCTTCCAGGTCATTCTTCTGTCCAAGTGGATACCAAGATAAAAACAATATTTAAATATTAAGCATGTAAATAATTCACGGACCTCTCTCTCTGTCATTGGGAACGCTGAATAACCTCAAAATAACGATTGTGCTGCGTCCATACTTAATAGGTCTATGGCATAAAATATATAAAATATATACAGGGTCCGCAAAAAAAGGCTATTAATCTGTTAAATTATTTATACGCTTAATATTTAAATATTGTTTTTATCTTGGTATCCACTTGGACAGAAGAATGATCAGGAAGAAACATATTTTTTACAAGAGAAAGCAGCTAGGTCTTAAATTGCGAAATCTGTACTGGCTAATAGGTAGGATGTTCCAATTAACAATACAAAATAAGAATTGTATTTGCAAATGCGTAGGGATTTAGGCTCAGCTGAAAAATGCATTTTGCTCGGTAAAAAAATAATAAATTCTCAACCCTATTCAACAATAAGCTACCCTTCTCTACCCCAGCTACCTTGCATTACTGAAAACGTAACTCACGTGGTCTTTTGCTTTCTTACTATTGGCTAATGCATTGTCCAATCTCTCATTGTCATATGCCCAAACTAGCTGCATCTCTCTCATTCATCGACAACACAACCTCTTTGTCTAAACCGCGTCCATAGTTAATAGGTCTATGGTAATTAACAATGGTTTTTTTTTGTTATCGTTCCCGCGACAACGATTAAGGGCCGTCCCGCGTCATTTCGATCTGCCATAAAACCGTCCCGGGGAAAATCATCCCCGTGGAAACGTCATATTTCACATCCTGGATAAACGTCTTTATGTACGCGCTGGGGATAAAACGGATTGTACTGGTAAAATCGCGGATAATTCCGCCCTCCATTGTACCGGCTTGTTGTATTGTTAAGCCGAAGACTATTGTGGTTTTCGAACCGAATTTAACCGGAGAAACATTAATCGAGCGTCCGCAACGGCGCTCTTCATTCGAAATATTGCTATATTAATTAAAGAATAACTCGGGGAATAAAATTTTAAAAAATATATTACCTTCATGATAGCAGTGTTGTTCGAATCGGGCACCGCGAAAATGATCCACAAACCGTTATCGTCCACGCTGAAATCGACCGTATTGTACTGTAGACTGTACAATTTCGATATGTTCATGTAATTTTTGAAATTATGATCCGGTCCCGGTAGATCTAAAGTCATCTAAAACATAAATTGTCCTAATTTTATTCAAAGTCGAGTGAAAAAATGTGTAAAATGGGTTTTGTAGGTTTGTAAAATAATTTGTAGTAGACTAAGGGTGATTGGTTGGGATATGAATAGATGGGGGAATAATAGATTGGGTATAAATAAATACATGGGGAATGAATGGATGAAGAATGAATAGACAGGGGATCAACTGACAGGAGAGGAATAGACGGAGGATGAATAGACAGGGAATCAATAGACTGGAAATGAATAGATGAAAGATTAATGTACGGGGGATCAATAGAGTGGAGGTGAATAGATCAACAGGCAGGAGATAAATAGATGAAGAATGAATAGACAGGGGATCAAATGAAAGGACATGAATAATTTAAGGATCCATAAACAAGGGAGGAATAGATGGAGGACGAATATACAGAGGATCAATAGACTGGAAATGAATAGATGAAAGATCAATGCACGGGGGATCAATAGAGTGGAGTGAATAGATCAACAGGCAGGAGATAAATAGATGAAGAATGAATCAGGGGACCAAATGAATCAAACGGGGGATCAAATGAAAGGACATAAATAGTTTCAGGATGAATAGATGGGATCAATAGGAGAGCAATAGATGGAGGACAGGTGGATGAATACACTTAGACTGGAAATGTTTAAATGAAAGATCAATACATTAGGCATCAATAGAGAGGAGCAGAATAGATGAGGGATGAATAGATGGGGAATCAATAGATAGGAGATGAATAGACGAAGGTTGGTTATGTGGAATATAAGTGAAACTTACGGTGCTTTCGTCTTTCAAATTATATCTAATGATCCTTCTGGTGTCTTTGATGTTGTAAAAGAAATATCCATTGTAAACGACGTGTGTGTTTCCTCCAAAGGGATGGCTTACATTGTAGATGCTATAAGAAATATATATAGAGGAGGAACTATTCGTTTCTAATGATATACAGGGTGATATCCTAAACATCGTGTACATCCGAAAGGGGGTGATTCCTTGGCTTATTTTATGACTAAAAGTTCATATAAACGTGGGTCCGCAAACGCTTCGTTACCGATCTACAGGGTGTTGAAATTTCAAGATTTTTTTTGTTTCTTTCTAAAGCTCCTGCAGTTTTTGGGATATTTAGCTCAAATTAGGTATAGGATATAAGTTATAGAGTATAGAGTATAATTTGAGTAGGATGGGGTCACTTTCAACATTTATTATAATGTAATTTAATAGTATTTTTAGGGGTTTTTGTTTTGTAAAATAAATCATTTGTACAGAAAATTATTTTTAATTTTTTCTCGATAACGGTCACAGAAACGAAAAAAGTTTAAAAGTAAAAAAAGTTTCTAAACAAAACAGACAATTAATTTTGTATTTTAGAATCCACCAGCGGCGCACAGCAAAAAAGTTCGAGGAGAAAAAAGTGTACACGACCCCTGAAAAAATATCTCCCTGTAGAATTCAACAACCATCTGATATACCCAATATTGTGTGCCCTATAAAGCAATCTAGATTAAAAATTTGAGCAAAATATCTCATAAAATGCATTAGCTACAAAGAAAAAAAAACCAAAAAAAAAAACTTGAAATTTCAACACCCTGTAGACTGGTAACAAAGCGTTTGTAGACCCACGTTTATATAAACTTTTACTCATAAAATAAGCCAAGGAATCACCCTCTCTCGGATATGTACACGATGTTTAAGAACACCCTGTATAATAGAGGAGGAACTATTCATATCTGACGATAATAAACGGGCTTACTGTGTGTGGATTTTGCTGCGGAACATGGTTTTGTTGGCGAATTCGTAGAGTATATGCGGCTCGCTTTCGGTGGTAACCCAATATTTTTGCTCGTCCTTATCGCTAGTGGGATTCGAGTCGCGCATCCACGCGCCGAACGTATCGTCGGTGTAGCGCAGGTAGACCGGTTTACCGACAGCGTACAGGACGCAATCTGCGAACGAGAAAAAAAATATCGCGCTGCATTCGCATTCCCGAAAGTATTGTAATAGACCGAGAGCGGCTCATTTATTATGCGCTCGACTTAGCGAGTCGAGCCAATTACGAGTTTCCAATTAAAGCCGGCCGGCGAAATTTTAATTAATTTCCGATTTCGTCCGGTGTTCGAATCGAATTAAAGTTACGCAAATCCGACGAGTTCGCTTTTGTAGCATCGCGAACGGCTAATTGAAATTTCCTACGATATTTTCTTTGCGATCCATCCATAGACCTTACCGATACCTATCCATAGACATTAACTATGGACGCGGTTTAGACAAAGAGGTAGTGTTGTCGATGAATGAGAGAGATGCAGCTAGTTTGGGCATATGGATATAAGAGATTGGACAATGCATTAGCCAATAGTAAGAAAGCAAAAGACCACGTGAGTTACGTTTTCAGATATGCAAGGTAGCTGGGGTAGAGGAGGGTAGCTTATGGTAGAATAGGGTTGAGGATTTATTATTTTTTTACCGAGCAAAATGCATTTTTCAGCTGAGCCTAAATTCCCACGCATTTGCAAATACAGTTCTTATTTTGTATTGTTAATTGGAACATCCTACCTATTAGCCAGTACAGATTTCGCAATTTAAGACCTAACTGTTTTCTCTTGTAAAAAATATGTTTCTTCCTGGTCATTCTTCTGTCCAAGTGGATACCAAGATAAAAATAATATTTAAATATTAAGCGTATAAATAATTTAACAGATTAATCGCCTTTTTCCACACACCCTGTATATATTTTATATTTTTTTTGGTCCCGCCTACTTTTAGCCCAAACTAGCTCCATCTCTCACGGACCTCTCTCTCTCTATCATTGGGAACGCTGAATAACCTCAAAATACCGATTGTGCCGCGTCCATACTTAATAGGTCTATGGATCCATCAAACTGACACTCGACAGCCTCTAATTAGCTACTAAATGGAAAGAGTTCTTACCTTTCGCGCGCAATCCTAAACCCGGATAAGTGATGTTCTGGTATTTTCTCACCTCCCAATGGGTGATCAGATCCACCAAAGATACACCGCCACCGGTGCACTTGCTTTCTTTAGCGTCCGTACAATCGGGACAATGTATAGGAGGACCGCAGAGATCCTCCAAGGAAACTTTATCGGGAGCCGGCAAACCGATCACAACCGGCCCTTTAGAACCCCTATCCACGTAAAACCCGCTCGATCCGTTATGCCCTAAAAACCACACACCATCAAACCCAAACACAAACCCGCAACATCAACAAAAATTACTGCTCAATTGGAGCTCCCCTCTGGTCGTCTGCAATTCGTTCTTGCTGATGCAGTAGTACTTGTACTGGAAGTCGAGCCCGGTGATCCGGGTGATGTTCAATTGCATCCTGTACCTGTAGCCGTTCCGCTCGGCCGATCCGTCTATCCGGTATTTGTCGCTGTGCTCGAGCAACCGCCCGTCCGAGCGCTCCCAATACCTGCGAACGAAACCTCGTTAAAAGGACCATTTCATTGGGATTTATAGGTCGATTTGTGTCTCACCGGAGCGGCTCCGGGAAGGCCTCGGTCTCGCATTCCAGCGTGGCCGTCGAGCCGTTCGTGGCCGGCACGTGTTGGATTGATATCCTCACCAACGGCGGAACTGTAATGGAAATGTGTTTTTTTTTGTCGGCGTTTGTCGATGGTAAACGAAGCGATAACTTACAATGTACTTCGACTACGTAGGTTTTATTGGCTTGCGGTACGAGGCCGTTATCGGCCACGCACACGTAGACTCCCATGTGGTCGCGCGTGATGCGCGGTATGCTCAAATTCGGCCCGGGAACTTGGATATCTGCAAGAAATATCCCGAGTTCAGCGGAAATTTTTTAGATCAGGCTTCCGTCCGACCGAGGATCATGCACCTACCCACTGACATCGATCAGGCTTCCGTCCGATCGTAAATCATGTATAGCAAAATTCAGCTCAGTTGAATACAGCTGTAAAAATGACGAAACTACAGAGATAGGCGTGGTTTTACCCAAAAGTATGACCGGCGAACCATCCACAGTATGCCCGATAACAGCGAAGTCGAGTCGGGGTTTATTTGTAATTCATTATTTGCTATTTGCATCGAAAACATCGGCTGAGCCCAGCCTCTTTTATGATGTTGTGCGCGAAAAAAACACGTGGTGTATTCAACTTAGCTGAATTTTACTATAACTACCTACTAACATAGATCAGGCTTCCGTCCGACCGAAAATCATGTACCTACCAGCATAGATCAGGCTTCCGTCCGACCGAAAATCATGTACCTACCAGCATAGATCAGGCTTCCGTCCGACCGAAAATCATGTAACTACCTACTAGCATAGATCAGGCTTCCGTCCGATCGTAAATCGCGTAGCCGTTTTTCTTGTGGTAAATTAATCATTGCGAAAATGGAACTCACCTTGCCAGGTGCCCATGACGACGGGCCGGTTGTCCAATCGTTGCCACATGGTTCTCGGCGCGGGATTTCCGCTGGCCAGGCATTGCAAATTGACGTTCTCCCGCTCGTGTACGACGATGGGATTCGTCGAGGGATGTCCTGCGTTCGACGGAGAAGAAAATGAAATCGATCGTTCGAAGTTTACCGCGAGGATAATCGATCGGCGATAAATCAAGATGCAGGTTTTCGCGGGGCGGCCCGGCGAGTTCTTTTTTAGAAGGTTTTTTAGAAGGTTTTAGAAGGATTCAAAAGACTAGAAAATTACAGCAGGGTTTTGAAGATTTTAGAAGATTTCAGAAGATTTTAGTAGAATTTAGTAGGTTTTAGAAGATTTTATAAGGTTTTTTGAAATTTTTAGATGGTTGCAGAAGACTACATTTTAAAAGATTTTAGAAGATGAATCAACATGTTAGAAGGTAAATTGGTTGGTGTTTTTAAAGGATTTTTATAAGGATTTGCAGGATTTTAGAATATTTCAGAAGATTCTTGAAGCTTTAAGACAATTTTAGAGGGTAAGTTGGTTTTTGAATGATTTTTAAAGGAATACACTGTTCTAGAAGTTTTTATTTGTAATTTATTACTTGTGCAGTTCGGCGTAGTTATACAAATGTGTCCAAAATGGACCAAAGACAATAAAGCACAATAATCTCCATTGAAGGATCATGCAGCCTTTTTATGCAGCCTATTTAGAGGATTATTTTATAAAAATGGAACACGGGCAAAAGCAATAACCGCCGGTCGAAATCGCATTAGCATTTTTTTACCAGGACGTCGTTGTTGTCGCGGAGAAGAAAATGAAATCGATCGTTCGAAGTTTACCGCGAGGATAATCGATCGGCGATAAATCAAAATGCAGGTTTTCGCGGCGCGGCCCGGCCAGTTCGGTCGAATGTAAACAGATTAAAATCGTATAAATCATCTCGGAAGACGTCGACACAACGGGCGTAGGAATGAAGGATTTCCAGCGGCGCTGCCGCTGCTCCGGTTTTTCCACGACCTTCGAGATTTATTAAGCATCTGCTACGCGTTGTACAACATAAATCGAACGATTAATTGCCGATAATCTCGTCCCGGAAACCGCGTGATAAATCAAAAGCGCCCCCGTTTGTTTTTCGTCACGCGTTCGCCACCTGCGTTATCCTTGAGAATCGAATATCCGGCTCTCGGACCGCCGCAGGAATTACCTTTACTCCTGCGACGCCCTCTAATCCCCTCATAAATAAAAACACTCAGAATCCAGAAGATCAAGAACTAAAGCTGCGTTTATTCAGTGTAAGTTTCTATCCCAATGAACGGTATTTTACAAGATTATTTCAAGAGGGTTTAGGGGATGTTTCAATTACTGCTAAATTTTTGAAGATATTTCTCTACCTAAAACCGTCCCTTGAGTACCTATATTTAACAAAATTTTCCCAATATAGAACACGAATCGAACCGTTTCCTGGACCATCCAGAGACGTCGCCTTTTCCGCATTTACATACAATTCTTTATCCTCATTGTCGATTTCTTCATCTCTGGAATTTTTATGTCGCACGCGACCGCCGTAACCGCCGGAGTTTCCACCGGAATATAGTCGATAAACGTTCCATCGCATCGGCGATTTTTCCCGCTATTTTTCCCCGATAGGAAAACACGCGAGCCTTTTTCCTTACGCTATCTCCTATACCGCGGGAAAATCCTCGAAACGTTCCGTTCGCTACATGATAAATTGCAATTGCTTCATGTTTTTAGTGCTGATGGAAACTAGATATTTTCTTTTATCTTTAGTATATTTAGTGATTTTATTAGATTTTTGAAGGTTTTACAAAGTTTTAGAAGAGTTTAGAAGGTTTTATTAAAAGATTTTAAAAGAATTTGGAAGGTGTCGGAAGGTTGTAGAAGGTTTTAAAAGTGTTTAGAAGGATTTTGAAGATTTTGGGAGGTTTTAGAACGTTTTTTTCCAAAAACTGTAAGATTATAGTAGGCTTTTGAAGATTTCAGAAGGTTTTAGTAGAATTTAGTAGGTTTTAGAAGATTAAAGAAGATTTTACAAGGTTTTAGAAGGTTTTTTTAGAACGTTTTTTGAAGGTTTTTTTTTTAGAAGGATTCAAAAGACTAGAAGATTACAGCAGGGTTTTGAAGATTTTGGGAGGTTTTAGAACGTTTTTTTTTTCAAAAGACTGGAATATTATAGTGGGCTTTTGAAGATTTCAGAAGGTTTCAGAACATTTTAGTATAATTTAGTAGGTTTTAGAAGATTTAAGAAGATTTTACAAGGTTTTAGAACGTTTTTTTGAAGGTTTTTTTAGAAGGTTTTAGAAGGATTCAAAAGACTAGAAAATTACAGCAGGGTTTTGAAGATTTTAGAAGATTTCAGAAGATTTTAGTAGAATTTAGTAGGTTTTAGAAGATTTAATACGGTTTTTTGAAATTTTTAGAAGGTTGCAGAAGACTACATTTTAAAAGATTTTAGAAGATGAATCAACATGTTAGAAGGTAAATTGGTTGGTGTTTTTAAAGGATTTTTATAAGGATTTGCAGGATTTTAGAATATTTCAGAAGATTCTTAAAGCTTTTAGACAATTTTAGAAGGTTAATCAATTCCTTAGAGGGTAAATTGGTTGTTGAATGATTTTTATAAGAATACACTGTTCTAGAAGATTTTATTTGTAATTTATTACTTGTGGAATTCGGCGTAGTTATACAAATGTGTCCAAAATGGACCAAAGATAATAAAGCACAATAATCTCCATTGAAGGATCATGCAGCCTTTTTATGCAACCTATTTAGAGGATTACTTTAGAAAAATGGAACACGGGCTTCGAAGCCTCATTAATCGAGAGGACTCCTACATGAAAAGCAATAACCGCCGGTCGAAATCGCATTACCATTTTTTTACCGGGACGTCGTTGTTGTCGCGGTGCCCTGATGATGGTCGGCGCGTTCAAAACGTGTATTTGACGTTCAAAATGAATTAGGGACGTCGGTGCATTTCATCAAATTACACGGCTCGCCGACCATTCGATATATTTCCGGGCCCGACAGCGCCCGTTTTCAGAGTCGTATCGCCGATAAATCAGATCGTTCGGGGCGCTTTCGAATTTTTTTTTTTTTCACCTGCCCGAAATAGTTCGGAAAATTCGAGGGAAATTGGGAAAGTGTTATTTATTTGTTTCCCGCACGCCCGACCTTCTACCCAAAACACCAGGATATTCGCAAGAGCTAATAGGAGATTGAGCAATCCTTTATGGTTAAGTATTAACCATTGATTATTATTGATTGATTTGTATTATTGATTTAATTTAAAGTAACAAGGGGTTAGTGGAAGAGCACCGCTGTATAGGTGAACTACTCCTTGAGATTTCCTTGGTTTTTCATTTATTTTTTTCTGTTTTGGTCATATTTTTTTCTGTATTTTGTTTATTTGATGAAGGAAATAAAGGCATACAGTGAGGACCAAAAGTCCGTCGCCCCCCTTTAACTTGGCTCGTATTTAAAAGAAAAAAACTGTCAATTTCATCAACTTTAAATTTCACAAATAAATGTCAGAGCCAAGAAACCATAGCAACAATTAATTGACACATTTTATAGTACGTTTAGAATTAATTCTTAAATGTATTAATATGCCCGGGGGTTAAAACTAAATTGGTCTTCACGTAAATACGCGTTATTAAAATGTTTTCAAATTGGGGCGTTGACTTAAGAATGAAATTACCTTTAAAACGAGGTGTCACTTGACCCCCCTTTCCATAAGAAAAAAAGATTCAAAATGGCGCCTAACTGTCATTTTGAAAGTTCCAACTGTCATTTTTACGTCAAAAAATAGTAGTTTTACTCCAATATAAACACCCCAAATTTCGCGATAAAAGGTCTTACCATTCAAAAGTTAAAGGGGGGGCGACGGACTTTTGTTTCCTCACTGTATATTATTATTATTATTATTATATCCATGATGTAGACCAAGTTTTAGTAGACATTAGAAGATTTTTCAAAGATTTTAGAAGACTTTAGAAGCAAGAAAGGAACTGTAGCAATCCACTTACCAGCAATAGAAGGTGGTATGAGGAACTTAGAAGTGTTATGTTTATCCAAATAGGCCCAAGTTTGTACCCCAGCAACTCCAGGAACCCCGTCCCTTCCGGATCTCCCTTTGCTGCCTCTCGGTCCCGGCAGCCCTTGCAACCCTTTAGGTCCAACGGGTCCCATCGGTCCTCTCTCCCCCTTCAAACCTGATCGAAAACAACAATCATAGAGAGAATTAGCGAGGTGTTAGAGCTTGAGCTATACCATTCACTCCATCTTTCCCGTCTTTGCCGGGTATCCCGTCCTTGCCCGGGGCTCCGTCGTAGCCGTTCCGGCCGGGGCGCCCGTACAGGCCCGGCTCGCCCGGCAGCCCGTTCAGACCGTCGAGGCCGGCTCGTCCTTGCTCGCCCTTCTGGCCGGGGAAGCCCGGAGGACCTGCACACGATAGAGGGAAATTTTAAATTGGCGTTAATTGAAAGTTAATCGGATGAAATTGAAACGAACCGTTGGCTCCTCTGTCGCCCTTACTACCCCGCAATCCTAAAATAAGCCAGAAAAAAAAAACGTAAAATAAAAATTAAATAAAATAAAAACACATACCTTTATCCCCTTTATGCCCTATTACACCCGGTTTACCTAAAACTCGGTGATAAAATAAAAATAAATTAAAGCAAAAAAACAAACAAACAAACCAGCATCTCCTGTATCTCCCTTCAAACCTTTCAATCCAGAAAATCCGGGGAATCCTATAATTGCGAATAAATTAAAACCAATCGAGATATATATAAAGGATCACCCACCCCTAGCGCCTTTGTCCCCTTTGGGGCCCACGTACCCTCGATTTCCTGCAAACCAAACGCGTACTGCCTAACCGAATTTCCTGCTAGCAATGTCCTCTTACCCATGTCTCCAGGAATTCCAGGGAAACCTCGCAGTCCGGGCTGGCCCGCCTCTCCTTTAGGGCCCGGAGGTCCTTCGGGGCCCGGATGCTTCGGGCAGAATTCCTGCACTTTCTGGCAATATCCTTCCAGCGCCTTTTCCTGAAGCGAAATTAATGGGATTTTGTTGATACTTTTGAAACGTTGGGAGTTTAAATTAATTAACGGTGCGTGGAAAATTCGGTGTGTTTCAGGAAAGGTTGGTGTATCGGGAACAATAGTTGAATTTGCGTCATTTGGAAAATAATTATAGCTAAACGTTCGAATGGAGAAAATGGCTCGAAACGACAGATATATATCGTTAATTAATTAATATTCCGAACGAGTAGTAGCATGCACAAATTGCGTACCACATAATTAATTTCATCGGAACGTTCGCGCGCTATCTGTTATTATAAATTACCAATTGAAGCCGCTGCCAATTGGTTTGATCGATTTTAATTGAATTGTTTTTAAACTCGCCAATTCACCGTTGTTCGAATTCGCCCTATTTTCGTCCAATTAAATCCCAATGCGATACTCTCGGAGCTATTAACTTAAAAAAAAAATTCTTCTAATGATCGATCGCCCAAAATACACTAATTTGAATAGGCACGCGCTAACTAATTTGTGTGCGAAGTTTAAATAAACTCGGAGTTTACTCGTGCAAATCCGGGAGTTCCGGATACTTCCCCTAAATCAAGCATTCATTCAGCGTTAGAATACACAACCTTTCCTAACTACATAATACAATTAAAGCAACCATTTCCACTCACAATTGTTATTGACACACGACAATTGACAAACGACAATTATCGTTGACATATGACAGTTAACATTTTTATCGAGAAGGCGCGTTTTTCTGTCTAAATGCCTTTGTCTAAGTGCGATTGTAAGGATGAAAAGCGACGGTGACATTTTTAATGGATGCTCGAAAGATTGAAAGATTATACTAGGCTTTTGAAGATTTCAGAAGGTTTCAGAAGGTTTTAGTAGAATTTAGTAGGTTTTAGAAGATTTTACAAGGTTTTAGAACGTTTTTTTTTAGAAGGTTTTAGAAGGATTCAAAAGACTAGAAGATTACAGCAGGGTTTTGAAGATTTTGGGAGGTTTTAGAACGTTTTTTTTTTCAAAAGACTGGAAGATTATAGTAGGCTTTTGAAGATTTCAGAAGGTTTCAGAAAATTTTAGTAGAATTTAGTAGGTTTTAGAAGATTTAAGAAGATTTTACCCTGTTTTATATAGAACGTTTTTTTGAACGTTTTTTTAGAATGTTTTAGAAGGTTTCAAAAGACTAGAAGATTATAGCAGGGTTTTGAAGATTTTAGAAGGTTTCAGAATTTAGTAGGTTTTTCAAAGATTTTATAAGGTTTTTTTTGAAATTTTTAGAACTACATAATACAATTAAAGCAACCATTTCAACTCACAATTGTTATTGACACACGACAATTGGCTTACGACAATTGACAACCGACAATTATCGTTGACATATGACAGTTAACATTTTAATCGAGAAGGCGCGTTTTTCTGTCTAAATGCCTTTGTCTAAGTGCGATTGTAAGGATGAAAAGCGACGGTGACATTTTTAATGGATGCTCGAAGTGCAACGGGGGCCTTAATGCAGTTGCGGCGTTAATTAACTCAAATTATTTCGCAACTCTATTATGGTTTAGAGGGGCTTTTGTCTGTCGAGGGCGCGCTCGTTTCCGAAACGTCGGCGGGATAGTAGAATTCGATAAACTCGGCGAAAACGCGATAAAAACCGGCCTCGTCGTTTCGCGCGAAGTGTTTCGCCGGTTTGGATTTGATTAGTTCTTCTTGTTTGTTGGCCTGGTTTTCCGAATCTCGGTGCTTCAATTCGTTTCTATTAGTTCGGGATTAAATACTAAGCGGTAATCGGAATTATCCGAAAGAGGATAAACGAAGGAAGTTCTATGATAAAAGTGCTTCAAAATAATGCAATAATATTCGAGGAAACTTTCCGCACTGTACACAATTCTAATCGTTATATTGTTTCCGAGCGAGACGTGACTCGTTCGAACTGAACTTTTGCATATCAATACGGCGAATCTTAATAGAATCGAGCTCAGATTGTTCCCGAGAGCTCAGCAGATTACGGATTTTTCATCAAATTAAACTTCTTGCATTTAATCAACTCTTACAGCCACTTGGGCCATTTTACTCCCATAATGAGAAATACGAATTTGTTCCGGGAAAATTATTCAATTTTTCAATCTTCAAACTAATTTTAAAGCAATTGGATATCATACATTGGTGAACAAAAGTACCCTCCATTCGTTTACTATAATAATGTTTCAACCATCTTAGTTCATGTTTCAACCATATTAGTAGGATTCCCAAAATTAATATTGATTAAAAACAAATATTACAGAAATTGGATGTCATATATTAGTGAACAAAAGTACCTTCCATTCATTTACTATGATATTTCAACCACCTTAGTTCCTATTAGTAGGATTCCCGAATTAAAAATTGAATAATACGAATAAAAAACTAAATTGGATATCATACATTGATGAACAAAAGTACCCTCCATTCATTTACTATGATGTTTCAACCACCTTAGTTCCTATTAGTAGGATTCCCAAAATTAATATTGATTAAAAGAAATATTACAGAAAGTGGATGTCATACATTATCGAACAAAAGTACCCTCTATTCATTTACTATATTGTTTCAACCACCTTAGTTCCTACTAGTAAGATTCCCAAATTGAAAATTGAATAATACGAATAAAAAACTAAATTGGATATCATACATTGATGAACAAAAGTACCCTCCATTCTTTTACTATAATGTTTCAACCACCTTAGTTCCTACTAGTAGGATTCCCGAATTAAAAATTAAATAATTGAAATAAATTGTATATCATGCATTGATAAACAAAAGCAACCTTCCATTAATTTACTGCTACACCTTAGTTCCCATTAGTAGGATTCCCGAAATAAAAAAAAACCAATTCCATTACATGTACTTTCATTAAGGTAAGGTACTCAAATGACCGTACATCGCCAAAGTACGCAGTTTTCCGGCGCCATAAACATAATAAAAGCCGAATCCTCATCAGCGGTCAGGCCGAATGGGCCTCCCCATTGCCTTTGGAAGTCGTTCCCGACACGCCCGTGACGTCGCGACGCGTCCCTTTCAGCGTCAATGGCAATCTCGCCGAGCGATTCATTACGGGAAAGCTAATTTCGGGGTAGAAAAACTTGATTAAAGGCCAATTTGCGATCAAAAGTGCCATAATGGATTTGAATGTGGTCGAAATAAACGCGACTAATCAGCGTTTGTTGATGCCAACTTTAAAATAATAAATTGGATTTATTTGGGTTGTAAATTAAATTTGGATTATGTGGGAAGATTGGTTTCAATTACCGATGGGCCAATATAATGTTATTAGAAGTTAAATAGGGAATTATTTGGGGGAAATCTCTTAAGAGGGTGGTTTCTGATTTGATGAGAATAGTTAGGAAAAAGAAAAGTCTACAGGGAATGCAATCTTTGATTAAAAGTCAACAAGAGTTGGAAAATTTCTCGTCGATGGTGAAATATCAAATTCCCAGGGGAAAAACTTTGCAACATTTTCTAGAAAATTACCAATTAATATTTCTGGTCGTAACATCAACATAACAAACGGTTTTTTAGTAAAATAAAAAAACAATTTACCTGTACCTACAATACCTTCTACCATAATTTATTTACAAAAAAAACCGCGACATTAAACCGACCCGCGTTCATAACTCATTCTGTTTGAGCAAGAAAAACCGTCTCTTCCGAAAATACCGACTTCAAAAACAGTTATGAAACTTTCATTATGCGAAAATCATCCTGTGGGTAAATTGCTCATAAGCATACGAATGAAAAAGAGCGGGCGAGCCGGAAAATTCGCCGGCAAATTCCTCGCCATATAACAAGATGGTTTAGAAAAAAAAATAGTTATTACAACGTCAAAGTTGGCTTATGAAATTTAATCGACGCTAAACAAAATGACAGTTAATTGTTTACCAACTGTTCAGTTCTTTTTATTTTCATCAGGTGGCTGGATGAGTAGTAGGTAGTAGTTTTTTTTGTTCCACCGTGTATTCAAAAGACGAGAGTGCTACTTGCACGAGATGAGGTTGTTTACGAAAAAGCTGGGAATCGAAAACCCGGAAAAACGAACGTTATGTTGATATCAAAGCCGGCTTTGATTTCCTGGATTCTTCCGGTTTGCTAGAATTGCAAATTTATCCCGGAATAATAAATAAACTACAAACAGTAAACAAGACAGAACTTGTTCGTCTGGTTCCGCCAGAAAAGTAATTACAAACCTATCTTTTGAAATGTTAAACGTCAATTATTGACACATAACTTACCAGTTTGCCAGTTTTATAGCTTGACATGTTGATATAGTTTGATCATTTTGACATAGCTTGATTATTTGATAGTTTGCCAATTTTCCAATTGGATATCTCGACATTTTGCCAGTTTGCAAGTTCACAATTTTGACAGTTTTCCAATTGGACAGCTTGACATCTTTCCAGTTTACAAGTTTGCTATTTTGGCAGTTAATTAGCCAGTAGGATAGCTTGACATTTTGCAAGTTTGCCAGTTTCCCTATTTCCTAGTTTACCAGTTGGATAGATTATCATTTTGTCAGTTTGAAAGTTTGTAGATTTGCCAATTTGCCAGTTGAATACCTCGACATTTTGCCAGTTTGCAAGTTCACAAGTTTGACAGTTTTCCAATTGGACAGCTTGACATCTTTCCAGTTTGCAAGTTTGCCATTTTGGCAGTTAATTGGCCAGTAGTATAGCTTGACATTTTGCAAGTTTGCCAGTTTGCCTATTTCATAGTTTACCAGTTGGATAGATTATCATTTTGTCAGTTTGAAAGTTTGTAGATTTGCCAATTTGCCAGTTGGATACCTCGACATTTCGCCAATTTGCCAGTTTTCGAGCTTGACAGTTTGACAGTAAGGCAATTGACAGTAATAAACCATGTGAACAAAGTATGTTTATTATCAACAGTAAAAAAAATGCTAATAAATTATCCAAGCGAGCCAAAAAATCATTTTAACGAGAGTTGAAAAGTTAATAAAAAAATAAAAAAAAAAACAGTAA